GATACTATTACGCTACTGAATAATAGTTGCACTCGTGTATGCTCAAACCCTTAGGAAACAAAGTCTGCGTTTTGGCAATAAATATTCCAATCTTTGGCTTGGCTGTGTTTGAAAAGTCGTGAACTATCTAAAAATTTTGTAGAAGACAAGTAAAATAGCATAAAGAGAACTTTAATGCTAGGAAATATGCCAGGTTAACAGGGCATGGGTCTTATTAGATGCGTACTTTTAAAAGTCATGGATATGAGGTGATCTTACTTTGAGCTTTCATTCTCAGTGATAAGGGGACGTAAGTTCGTGCTTCTAGCAGACTACACTTTTAACCGCACCGCAATAAAATCTCATAAAATAGTTCCTCCAGGTTAACACAGTTTCATTGTGCAAGTTAATAGTGGTGCTTCCCCCGCTAAATGGGTTTACTAGTTTTGGAGGCATTAAAGGACATCCGTTTTAATGAGAGTGAGACAGGACATCAATTATAAAATGAATTTGATTTTTTTGCTGAAGCAAAGTAGTGCGTGTTACTTTTAGGATCCTGAGAACCAGAAGTCGAAAAGCAGTGAGAGTTATTCGTTAATGCCACTTCTGACGGGTTGATATTGTTTAGTGACGTTTAACCTAACCTGTTCAAAACTGACTCATAATTTGACATTTTCAATCAAGTGAAAAATAAACTGGGTTATGATTCTAACTTCTAACTTCTCTTCTTAAGCAGTAGCTTTTTATAGGCTCACTTTGCAAGGTTTGCGTCAGAGTTAAGAGGCACGAAATGTCCTTGAACTTACCTGAGAGAGCCCCAAGCTGCCCGTGATACCTTTAAATCACAGAAAATAGCTAGAAACGTCGACAATTTTTTATTTTCCAGTTCAAACTATGTGCCTTTTCTAAGACAAGGACACTTTGTTATATTTTTATCATGTAGCGGTGGCATGTGTGTGGTTTTAGCATCTGATCGATAGCTATTTACTCTAACGATACACAATTAAATGGATTGTTTAGTACGTCACCGACTTATTTTACGGTAATCAACGAACTTCTAGGTTTTAAACACTTTACTATCCACCTATCGTTCCACTCATACATCTCCTTGTCTCAACGTCCATCTATCAATCTATCCGCTTATCTATCAACCCATCTCACCATACATCTATTTATCGCGTCGTTTATCTATCCATTGATTAAGCTAGCAATTTCTACAATTCTCTGGTCAACCACCTAAATATCTAACATCTATCTCTTCACTTATATATCCTACCATCCATTTGTCACTATTGAGAATCTACAATATAGGAAGGATAAAACCACTCATTTGCCTAAAATAAAATTATTTCATTTAGTTAAGTGGGTTTAACAAGAATCTTAAGCCTAGGCAAGCAACGAGTACTGATGCCGTCAGTTTGCATGTGCTTACTCTATTCACATAAGCAATAAATCTAAAGCATTACTACTTATTACTATCTCAAGTATTGCAGTCAGTTTTATTTTACATCCTAAGTAGACTAAGTAATCGAATCGAGACCTGTTATACCATTCCACCTTTGGTATTTTTTTTAGGAATGAAAACGACTTCTTATACAAATGACATTATTGCCTACCGTTGCACTCACAAGGTTCTGAAGTACAAAAATAACGTGAAGGCTGATATGCCTTAATGATGGGCTTTAATTTTACACAGTAAGGCATTTACTTCTGTAATCTTTTATAAGGCCTCCTCATCTGAATTTTCAGCTGCGATTTATTAGTTATGAAAAAGCTATCCTCTGTGCAGTCTCTCTTACAATCTACTCAATGTAATTTTAGCCCAAAAGCGTTTTAATGCTTCGGCAAGGTTTAGAAATGAAAACACCATTCTAATTTGGATTAATAATATTTTTTAAAGCATTTTCAGAACTCCGATGTTAAGGATGGGTTTTATCGAAAATGCTGATTAGCTATGTCTACAAAGATAACCTGTAGCCCTTACTTTGTTCAAAATAAGGCAGCTAAACGATTGCTTTTTAATAATTAACCTAGTTAAAACCCACAGGATCTGTACTAAATGAAAATATAAAGCCTTAAATTAGTTTGAGTAGACGAATATCCTTTAGAAGCATAATGATAAAATTGTGGTCGTCATAGCAGTGAGCATTTTAGGAACCCTTAGTAATATGAATATCTACTTAACGAGTGTTAAAATCTGTGCAGGTGACCATTTTTCTTATAAGTCAGATTATTTTACAGGATAAAAGGATTACACATTGGCACAATGTTGCCGGAGATTTACCACCTTTAAAGCATCTACGACCCTCTTTATTAATATCGGCGCAAAAGGGATGTTTTATTGCTTACATTAAACAGAGCATCAACAAAAGTCTTTCTTGGCGAGCGATTATTCAAATCTTAAAAAAAAAGGCAATACGTATTTCATGGTCGAATATCAATAACTGAAAGCCTTAATAATTGATCCATGTAACATTCCTGTCTCAGAGTCACCCATTAAAACAATCAAGTTGTTTGGTTTACACCATTTCTGTATCTCCTTCAAATGCTTTAAAAGAATTGTTGGTAAACCATCGACAGCTTTAGAATCAAGTTAAACTCAGTCAGATCATACCAAATGGGATCAGATTGACTGTATTTAATAAGACG